TCTTCCTCTTCCTCTTCCTTCCTATAGAATTTTAAAGTGTTTATTTCTTGATTTCCATCCCCTAAGTGCTAAAATAGTCTCATTTCCCCTCCAGTCCTAGTCTACATATTGAATTAAATAAAATGGTATTTGCTGTAGTGATGAATGTGATTACAAGGCTGCTACTGTCTCAGTTGCTAATTCTCTGGTTCGTTGCAGCTTATCTCTGATGCTGGATACCAAGGGGAGATCACCAGTGTATCAACAGCCTGCCAGCAGTTGGAAGTCTTTTCTCGTGTGCTGCGGACCTCTCTAGCTACTATCTTAGATGGTGGAGAAGAAAATCTGGAGAAGAATCTACCAGAATTTGCTGTAAGTTTGCACCCTTGTCTCCTTTTTTTTTTTTTTTTTTTAAGAAATTGTTCCCAAAAATATTTGCTGTGGAAAAAGTGCAGGGGAATGGTAACATTCTATACCCCTAGCTAGGTCTGTATCCTGTGGTACCATAACTACTTTTCTCTTCTTATGCTTGATATTCTCACGCACAAACACTCTACTAAGTTTTGTATTACACAGGGCAGAGGTTTTCATACTTTTTCAGGTGCTGCAGCTATTATGCAGTTAAATCTTCTCAATCAATAAATAAGTATTTTTTTCTAAAAAATATATATTGGAACCCCTGATCAAAAGGCAAAGCTCTAGTGATAGAAAATTGGTTGGTTCTTTTTTTTTTTTTTTTGCTCCTAATCTCTCATGGAATTCCATCAAGTTCTCGCAGAATCCTAGCATTTTTTTTTTTTTAATGGCATAGGGACATAGATCTTCAACCAGTTACTGGAACTGTGGACATCATAAGAATGGAGCATTTGATTTAGCTTCAAAGTAGGGTTTGTAATTTTCTATCAAGCAACAGTCATTGTTCCTCATGTTGGTGGGTGCCCATGCTCTTCCTGCAGCTTGTTCCACCTCCAAGTTTCCCATGAGGCAAAGGAGAAATTTCTCAGAAGCTGAGCTTTTTCAGGATATGCTGTGTTACCTGCCACCTCCTCTATTGCAGTATTTGTTCTTCAGTGGAGAACAAAGAAGAAGAGGAGATGTTGGTGTCATCATTCATGTTGGACTTTGTATTTGAAGGCAGCAGCTAGGTATCAGTTGTACACTGTCCTGAATTCCAGCAGAGGGACATGTAAACTGTTTCCTTCAAAGCTTTGGACACAGGGAAGAAAGAGGGCTGTGTAACTCCAAACAGTGCTTTTGTCTAAAGGAATATTTTTGTCTTTTTGTTTTTATTTGACTACTTAAATCAAAGACAGTCAGTCTTTGGTGGCAATTATTATTGGGTGCAGGGTGAGTGGAATGATGGGTAGGGCAGTGGGTCCATTCTCTGGGTAGAACCTAGATTTTCAGGGTTTTTTTCCTGGGTTGGGGGGAGGGATGTTTGGTTAACTTCCTTTTTTAAAAACTATGTGCACTATTCAAGGGCTTATGTTAAAGCTTTTATGGGTTCCCACCTCAAACTGGCTGGAAACAAAGCCAACTTTTCAGTACTCATAGCTGAAAGGAATTTAAATGGAATGTTGTTTTAAATGAACTGCTGAACTGTTTTGTGGTGTTTACGTGTCTTTCTATAGACTGAAAAATATAATTAGCCCTTAATGTTGGACACATTCATGTTTCTGAATAAGCTGATAATCTGTGACAATGTATTCGCAGAAAATGGTGTGCCACGGTGAGCACACGTATCTTTTTGCTCAAGCTATAATGTCCATGTTAGCACAAGAAGAACAAGGTGGCTCTGCTGTGCGCAGAATTGCTCAAGAAGTTCAGCGATTTGCTCATGAGAAGTAAGATCTTGCTTCATTTCTTTTTCCAAATTTAATTTATGGCTCCCCTAGGTTGCATGCCTCAGGATAATTCTAGCCCATAGAAAAGGAAGCCTGATTCATTTCTAAGCATGATCCCCAAATTGAACTTCGCTTAAAAAACTTACAGTTAGTCAAGGTGTCCAGTAGAAGACACCATGCCATCAAAACAACACCAGGTGCACCATGTCATCAATATGGCAAATGTCACAGATTATGTACTTTCAAGACAACATCACTTGTGCACCCATGGACACCCGCATAGCTGGCAGAGTATTAAGTATACAACTTATGTTAGAATTGCCAATTTAGAAATACAGATTTGTAGAGCTTTTTCTTAGTTCTAGATCCTTCCTTCCTTCCATATTATCGTTAAGGTGTAAAAGTATGCATCTAAAACTTTCGGATAAGACCTGCTTGTTCTAAATTGTCTTTCCTAAATGTGATTCTGCCCATCTTGTCCAGATATCTAGAACAGTGTTTCTCAACCGTGGCAACTTTAAGATGTATGTTCAACTCCCAGAACTCCCCACCCAGCATACTGGCTGGAGAATTCTGGGAGTTGAAGTCCACACATCTTAAAGTTACCAAGGTTGAGAAACTCTGATCTAGAGAGAATCTGCTTAAGATCTCGCCCATAGGAGGTAAGAGGGATGTGGGCCAGAAGGCAAACCTCAATAGTGATCTCCTCCATTATGAAATCCGCAGCCCTTGAGAGGTCCGCCTGTCTCCTTTTCTTAGGACATTACAAAGGGGTCTGAAAACCATTCAGTTTCTGCAGACTTTGGGGCCTTTGTAAGGAAATTGCAGGCAATCATCTATTCATTTCTACAGAATTTAAATGTCATATTACCCAGTATCTTAGATTGAGACTGGGTGAAGGATGGATGGATGGATGGATGGATGGATGGATGGATGGATGGATGGTCAGACAAATGAACAAATGAACACAGATTACATACTGCATAAATCTGGTCTATTTAATAACAGTTGTGAGTCCAAACCTAATGTGAGAAACTGAATGTCCTCTGCTGTTTTGTCCACATAATTGATTCTGTTTGGGTCTCACTAACACGCCAAACATTCTTAGGAGATTGCTCAGACGGTCTCCACTATTATTGGTGGTCTGTCACCCCTTCTGAAACTTTCCTAAAACAAGCTTGCGCTATCTCTTTTGTTCTTGCTTGATCTGCTGAAGAGGCCATGATGCCAGTCAGATCACCCTGGCGTTGGGTACTGCAGCTTCCTATCCCCGTGCCTGCCAAGCCCTTGGCGCCATGCTGTCAAAAGGAGCTCTGAACCCAGCAGACATCACAGTCCTCTTCAAGATGTTCACAAGCATGGATCCTCCTCCTGTAGAACTGGTTAGTAGCAGCTTCCCTTAGGAAAAAGCCTAGATTTCTTTAGACCTTGGTTCAGTAGCAGTTTCAAAATGTATGATTATTCTTGAGTTTAGTTACTTTTTCTGCTGGGTAGTACGGAGAAGAATCTAAGGAATGAGAATTGTAGCTGTAGTCAAAGGAATTAAAATCAGAGGAGATGTATGGGTCATCTTTATTTCTGATGCTGGAAGCATCCAAGGTGCAAGATGAAATCTACAGATGTATCCCAGAAGTGCAAATCTGCCCTGTTGTGCCAGGGCTAGAGAGGGTGATTTTCTTTCCTTGGTCCAGCCCATTGCCTCAAAGGGACCCTGACCGTCTGACAGCGCTGGCCATCCAGTTTATTATGCCTCTTCCGGCCTTCTCCCTTCATATATTGATGTCCCATTATGGCATACGTGTGTAGAATCTGTGTGTCCAAAGGCAGCCTCTCCCCACTGGATTTGAGCAGGACCTTTCTCCCTCCATTGTAGATATCGAAGAGTTCAATCCTATACTCATCTATTGGGACTTACTTTATGGGACTTCCTCTTAGATAAGTCAGCGTTCCTGAAGAGGAGCCCTTGTTGCCTTCAAGGGGGAACCAACATTTATCTTCATCTTGTTTTGTAACATGGTAATGTTACCATGTTCTGTAGGGCACTTTATTCCTCTTGTCCCTTGGATGCTTTGAGCAGCTGTTGCAATCACTTCCTGTCTTTATATCCAAAAATAATGTGGAGTAACCACAACAATACAAAAATAATAAATTCCAGAACTGGAATTAGCACCTACATAGCCCTTAGAAGGGAGAAAGGGGAACTGACAGTGATCCCCAAATAATAATAACCTGAAAATATGTGTGTGAATATACTTAAAGTGTTGTCTGAACTGTCTCAGGCTTATTAGCTCAAATAGGCTAATACTTTCATTCCATGGGGCAGAGAAAGAAATGAGATTAGCAGGCAGCAAGGATGGCCAGAGGGTGTGGTCCAAAAAGTCAAGATGCACATTAAAAAAAAAAGATAGCATCATCTTGACATTTTGGACCACACTCTTCGGACACCTCTACAGGCAGTGATTTATCTAAGATTATCCTAGGTAACCTTGAGTGTTCATTTTTTCAAAAAGATGTTGGAACATGTCCTGTGATGTAAAAAAGAAAGCTCTAGATCGGTGTTTCTCAACCCTGGCAGCGTTCAGATGTGAGGACTTCAACTCCCAGAATTCTGGGAGTTGAAATGCACATACCTGAAAGCTGCCAAGGTTGAGAAACACTGCTCTAGATTGTGGTAATCCAGCAAAGTGTGTATATATGTATTCAGTCTTCATATTATCTTGGCCTTCATGTACTGACAGATGCCCAGTGATTTTTTTGGGGGGTGGGGGTTCATTTGATTTGACTTTATGCATTTTTAATGAAGGAATAATATTGTAAATTTATGATTAAAACCATAATCTAAACATGATACCTAATCTTACTTACAACATTCACTTCCTTGGAAATAAAAGTATTTTGAGATGCAGTCAATGCTTATTTCTTAAAATCTGGTTTTCCGTAAGCCAGTGTTATGTTTTTTGTTTAATTTCCCTGCAGATTAGAGTTCCTGCTTTTTTAGATCTCTTTATGCTGTCACTGTTTAAGCCAGGAGCAAAAATCAATCAAGACCACAAGCACAAATATATCCACATTTTGGCCTATGCAGCTAGTGTGGTGGAAACATGGAAAAAGGTAAACTTGGGATGGGTGGATGATGAAATAAATTGGTGCATTAGAACAGGATAATATTTAGGTTATTTTATGTGCTTGCATCGTTTAGAATAAAACCGTATGCTTGGCTTCCATGTTTGCAGAAATAACATATGTATGACGTATGTTCTTTAACCAAAAGTGATCTTAATTCTTTCTCTTTTCAAATATGCCTTCCTTGCTCTTTTTCTACAAATGGGAAACACGGTGAATGGTGGGTGATAATGATGGATATTTGGGACTTCAGCAGGAATGCCCTCCTCCACCCCCACTCCCCAGATTTGCTAAACCACAGTTCCTGCCATTCACCATTAGGACTGTTGGAAACTGTATCTTAGCCTCATTAGTTCTACAGGTTCTGCATCCTTGTTTAGAGGTGTATTTGTATCTGTGCAAGGAATTTCATAGAATTATGTCATTGAAAGGGACCACGAGGGTCATCTAGTCTAACCCTCGACAATGTGCAGGAAAACTAGTTAAACCATCCATGAGAGCTGGCCGTCCATCCTCTTCTTCAGAACCTCCAGATGGAGAATCCACAATCTCCCTAGACAGACTATTTCAATATTGTACACATTCTACTATCAGAAGGGTTTTCCTCATATTGAAATGAAATCTAGGTAGCTCTATTTGAGCTAGAAAACCATAGGTAGTCCAATAAATAGATTAATATGTTTAACCATTTTAAACTTTTAGATCATGCTATTTATGCACATCAAATTCTTTCTGGGGCCCATGAGCTGTTCCTTTCTGATCTTATCCTTCCATCTCCAAATTTGCTGTGTATTTGCGCTGCACCTTTGCAGAATGGGTCTTCCCAGCAGGTTGTGCCATACTCGGAGGCTGATGCTGTTTTTCTGCTGGTCAGAATATTCAGGCAACTGCTTGCCAATAATTTAAATATATTTCTAACTCCTCAAAGTTACACTTCTGTTTTACCAGCACCTTCTAATTGCCATTTACCATGATAGTCATGCTGGGAATACCTTTGCATAGTATCCAGTGAGTTAACCTAATGAGTAGAAGACTCAGAAATGTATATTTTTAAGAAAGATTCACTAAACAGAGTTCTTTGCCCAGCTCCAGGTTTCAGCAGGAAAGACTGATGATTCTTTTTGTCTCCCACACCTTACTTCAATGCTTCTCAGAACAAGAGGGTGAGCATCAATAAAGATGAGCTCAAGTCAACTTCAAAAGCAGTTGAAACAGTTCACAATCTTTGCTGCAATGAGAATAAAGGCGCTTCAGAGCTTGTCGCAGAGCTGAGTACCCTTTACCAGTGCATCAGGTAAGCCTCACCTGAGATCATGGTTTCTTTGCTTAGAAATGCAAATGTTGCATTAAACAGAATATTAAGGAAGTGTGCAGTTTAAGTTCTGCTTAAAATTAAATTATTTTAAATCTGTGTTTGTGGAGAGCAAGCCTGAGAAATCTGCAGGGTTATCTGGGTAACTGTTTCAGAGTTTCGTTGATCTGAGTTTGCAATAGAAGAAAATAATAAAGAGGGCAAGTTTCTGATCCTCAGTTTTGTGGAAGAAAATTGAGAAAATTGAGTGTGCAACTGGATTATTTCTTGAAAGTGCTGGGGAAGGACACAAGTAGTCAAGCCCTGCCTTGTGAATCTTTGACCAGCTCTAAATTAGATCCTGGGAAACATATGTTTGGCCACTAAAAACTCTACTCTGGGAGTATCTTGGGCAATAAGAAGTGACTAATCTTGGCCACCATTTAAATTTCCCATAATGCCCCACAATGGAGACATTTCCTGCTAACAGGTGAAAAATGTCCTGGCCCTGTTTCATCTTTTTGTGGCTGGTCTTTAAAGGCTGTTTTTGCACAGCATGCCAACCCTTGCTTAACTCAGTAAGCCTGTGACCAATCCAAAAATGTAATTGGAAGTTTATCTGGCCTGCTAAAGACAGTTTTAAAATTTAAGGGGGAGGGGGAGGGGCCAGCCTCTTAGCCCTCCCCTCTTTTTCCCACCTCTAGGCTATAGACCTCTTGAAACTTGCTGAAATCCAGTTACCCGGATTCACCCAACACAGACAGCCACAACCTAAACACATTTTATCCCAGCATATTATGTGAATCAAGGAAGTGGCTTCTTTTATAGGCAATCGTTTTCTCTGCAAATATGTCTGATTTACTGCCTGGGAAATTTTCTCTCTTTTTGGGGAATTGCTTAATGGGGAAGTCATCTTTGTTCTGACAGTATCTAGGGAATAGTAGATTAAAGGTGATGGCATAGATGCTGGGGGTATTTGCCTCAATTCGGCATGCTCACTCTCCTTCCTGCTCTCCTTAGATTTCCAGTTGTAGCCATGGGGGTATTAAAATGGGTCGACTGGACTGTGTCAGAACCCCGATATTTCCAGCTTCAGACAGATCACACTCCAGTGCATTTGGCGCTGTTGGATGAGGTGAGGTTTTTGAGCTCCGCTAAGTGACAAGTCAGCCTGGCTTTATATTTTATATATGCTTGCCGTGATTCCTTGCTGCCCTACAGAACGGTGTCCCCCCAGGGATCCGGATAGCCACAATCTTCTTGGCACTTCATAAGGCATAGAAGAGATGGATGCTCCCCTTAGTGGTGAGGCTGGGAGGTTAAACCAGCCCTGTTGATGGATTGCTTTGTTCTTCATTGACCCTAAGCGTATGTCATACTGTTATCATTACTAATATTTTGGATCAGTACTGCATTTTGGGTGCTTTGTTTTGTATGTTACATTCCTGGTATTTTGGTTTTAATCCTCTGTGTATCACTCAGAGTTACAGCTGTGAGATGGGAGGCTATATAAATTGTTTAAATCCATCAATCAGTAAATACTGTTTATGTATTGCTTTATGTTTGGGGCTTCCATTTTTTGTTGTAAACTGCCAGGAGTCATAGCATACAAATACTTAAAATTCAGAAGGTTGTTTTGTTTTCTCGTTAACAGATTTCTTAGAGAAATATACTTCTAAAAAAGTGAGTTGGCACCAAAAAGGCCAAGTGTGTCAACTTGTGTAAATGGTTCTGTTTCTTCTCATCCCAGGGAAGGGTAAAGAGTTGTGCCAAATGATGAAGCTCTATTTTTTAAGCTCTGGATTTGAAAGTTTCCCAACCATTATGTGTATGTTTTTATTTTTTGTTGGCAATAAAGACTAGAAACTTGTATAATTTTGCTTTTTTTTTCCTTAATGAAAGTGGGTATTTGGGGATGCCAGATTTCTTCTATGGTACTTATTCAGAATGGTGGAATATGCATAACCCTGATTAAGATATGTAAGAGTGCTAAGATCTTTAATTGAAAAGATACCATATAGGAAGCAGAGATCCTTTTAAGCAAGTTATTTACATTGCTTCCTTTCTGTGCCAAGTTTTTTCTTTCTTGCCAGCCATCACAAACACATTTGAAGCATGCAGTTAAGGAGAGCTAAGAAATATACGAATATTACTGCTTCCACCCAGTGCAAACAGTTCTGAAATGACTAATGCCATATCTGGGCACAGAAATATGAAGCTGTCAAAGAGAAATGAAACCTTTTTCAGATCACGGTCCTAAAAATAGATGGGGCAAAAGACAAAGAAGTAGAAGTGGCAAATATTCCCTGCGTGTTAAATAATTTCCATTTTTGTTCAATGAAGGATTTCAGTTTGCAGGCTGTTTTTGGAGGAAATGTCAGAGTGCAAGAGTTTTATTCATACCTTTGAAAGCCACTCTAGGTTCTTTTTTAAAAACCTATAAGCAGTCAGGTTTCACATTATGGAAGAAGGTGAGATAGATTCATTCTCGTTCACTCCACCTTTTTAATTCATGGATAACTGTTTTTATACAAGGAGCCCTTTGCGAAAGATTTTTCTGACTTGTAGACTGGAATATGCTAATCCATTCCGGAGTCTCATTCTGTGGCAATAAGTCTGATTTGTTTAAGGACCAAACCTTTAGTATATAGTGGGGCAAAAAAGTATTTAGTCAGCCACCAATTGTGCAAGTTCTCCCACTT